AATCCGAAGGTAGATTGGAGAAGAAAAGTGATTACAAGTAGTGGATATAAGATCTATGGAGATAGAATTAGATCTCAGAATAGGAATTTACCCCTCTTTGTGATGGGTACAGCATCCATTTCTAGAGATGATGTATGTTTCCTTGGACTTATAAGAGATATTGGGTCCACGGACAAACCTTACATCCCGGAGTCCTTGAACGACATTTTTATGGAGTATAAAGATGTTTTTCCAGATGATCTACCTGCAGGATTACCACCAAAGAGGCGAGTTGATCACAAGATTGAGGTGATACCTGGAAGTACACCAACTTGCAAAGCTCCATATCGTTTGGCTCCAAACGAATTGGAAGAATGCAAAGCTCAAGTGGAGGAGATGTTGAGCAAGGGATTCATTCAACCAAGTGTTTCACCTTATGGAGCTCCAGTACTCTTTGTGAAGAAGAAGGATGGATCCATGAGACTATGTATCGATTATCGCGGGTTGAATCAGCAAACGGTGAAAAACAAATATCCATTACCTCGTATGGATGATTTGTTTGATCAACTTCAAGGAGCGAAGTACTTCACCAAGCTAGATTTGAGAAGCGGCTACAATCAAATTCGAATTGCAGATGAAGATGTTCACAATACAGCTTTTCGTACTAGCTATGGACACTTTGAGTATCTGGTGATGCCTTTTGGTCTCACTAATGCACCAGCTACATTCATGGGATTGATGAACGATATCTTTCGCCCTTATCTAGATAAATCTGTCATTGTTTTTCTAGATGATATATTGGTGTATAGCAAAACTTTGAGTGATCATAGAAGTCATTTACGAGAGGTACTTCAAGTTTCAAGAGACAATCAATTGTATGCCAAAGCTTCAAAATGTGAATTTGGCAAGTCAGAAGTAGATTACTTGGGTCATAGAGTTACAGCTACAGGAATCCAAGTGATGAGTGAGAAGATAGATGTCATTCAGAAATGGATAGCACCTGAGGATCAAACTCAATTGAAGAGTTTTCTAGGGCTCACTGGATTCTATCGTAGATTTGTGAAATGTTTTGCTCGACTAGCTCAGGCCTTGACTTCCATGTTAGGGAAAGGTCAAAAGTGGAGATGGGGAACAGCTCAAGAGTTAGCTTTTCAAGCATTGAAAGATGCTTTGTTACACGCACCTATTCTCAAGTGGTATGATCCTAACCGTTCTATCAAGTTGGCCACTGACGCATCAGGTACAACAGTAGGTGGCATACTTCAACAAGAATGGGAGGATGGATGGCATCCAGTTGCTTTCTATTCTCGAAAGTTGGTGGCGGCGGAACAAAATTATCACACGACATAACGGGAGGAGTTAGCTATCGTGTTGGCAACCAAACATTGGAAGCATTATTTGGGTGATAAGGAGTTTGTGGTGGAGACTGATCATAAACCCTTGGTTTATTTGGAAACTCAGAAGGATCTGTCCAAACGACAAATTCGATGGGCAGAGTGGCGTCAACGCTTCAACATGAAGATTGTGTACGTGGAGGGAAAGAAGCAACTTGCAGATGCTCTCACACGCATGCCTTGTTTGAATCATGTTGCAGAAGTGAAAATTCAGGCGGATTGGTGGAGCAAGATGTCACAAGCCACAAAGGAGGATGAAGTGATCACTCGAGCACTACAAACTGGAAAGGCAGAGAAATCTCGAGGTTTGGCGTTTTACAATCAGCGTATATGGATTCCACAAGATCACGATTTGCGCACAATGATTTTGGCAGAAAGTCATGATACAGCCATTGCAGGTCATGTGGGAGTGGAGAAAACCGTGGAGAGTATACAACGAGTGTACTATTGGCCCAAAATACGTGAGGATGTGGAGTCTTACGTTCGAAGTTGTGTTGCTTGTCAACAAAACAAGGCAAGTAATCAAAAACCAGCGGGTTTATTACAACCTCTTCCTATTCCCGAACAGCGGTGGGAACATGTCACCATGGATCTTGTATGTGAGTTACCAAGGACTTCGTTAGGACATGATTCAGTGGTGGTTTTTGTGGACAAATTGAGCAAGATGATTCACATCAGGCCAACCACAAAAACAGTAACAGCTCCACAACTAGCTCAATTGTATCTAGATGCAGTTTTTGTGAATCATGGCTTAAGCAAAGTGTTAATCACGGATAGAGGTACTCACTTCACTAGTTTATTTTGGAAAACTTTGTTTAGTTTTTTCAAAACAAAACTAGCAATGTCAACGGCCTATCACCCTCAAACTGATGGACAAACTGAGAGGGCAAATAGAACCATAGAGGATATGCTACGAGCATTCACATTAGAAGAGCAAGAAGAGTGGGACAACCTTTTGCCACTTGTGGAATTTGCATATAACAATTCTGTTAATGCATCCACAAAAGCGTCTCCATTTTTTCTTATGTATGGAGCTCATCCGATAACTCCTTCAAGTTTGATGAGACTTCCGAAAGGAGAGGAGTTTTCGACCAAAGTTGCAACAGTCAACGAATTCGTGGAGCATATTCACCGAGGACTACATCAGGCCAAGGAGAAGTTGGTGATAGCTCAAAATCGGCAAAAGCAGCATGCCGATGCTCATCGTAGAGAAGTGATTTTTGAGGTTGGAGATCATGTTTGGTTATCTACAACGAATTTGTCTCTTGTAGGAACACCAAAGTTAAACCCTAGGTTCATTGGTCCATTTTTGGTTTTGAAGCGTGTTGGTGAAGTGTCATACAAGTTGGAACTTCCGTCACATATGAAAATACATCCAGTATTTCATGTGTCACAATTGCAAAAACATGTACCACGACCAAAACAATTCACCAACCAACCAGCACCACCTCCTCTTCCAACCTTGATAGCAGATCATGAGGAGTTTGAGGTAGAAAAGATACTCAAGAAACGTATTCGAGGTCATAAATATCCCAAAGTAGAGTATTTGATTCAATGGAAAGGCTATCCATCGTATGAATCAACTTGGGAACCAGCTAAAAATTTAGCAAATGCACCTTTAATCGTTGAGGAGTTTGAACGTATGTGCAACGAGGACGTTGCATCTTAAAAGGATGGAGGTTTGTAACCATCTTTAGTTAGTTAGAACTAAAGTAGAGGTTACTCCGAATATTGATGTAGATACTTTAGTGTGCACTAGTCATAGCTGCCACGTCAGCGATCCGCGCACTTGGTAGGTACAGAGTGGATGTGTTAGTTGATAGTGCCACGTCAGCAATCCGTGTGCTTGTAGGTAAGGATGGAGTGTGTTAGTTAGTGTGTTAGTTGGGTGCGCCACGTCAGCGATCCGTGTGCTTGTTAGAGTTATCCGCCACGTCATCCATCCACTAGGAGTGGTATGGATGGTGGGGATTAGATCTTATCACCTCGTACTTGTTGGTGAGAGCTATATAAGGGAGAGGAGAACCATTGTTGGTATCTCTCATCTTTAGAGTTTACGTTTCTATCTTCGAGTGAACTTCTCTCTAAACCCTAGTGTTACATCATCCAAGGCAATAGGTCGGCTCTTCTACGGCAAGGATCCTTCTTCTGAGAACATCTGGAAGTGTAAATGTGGAGTAGAACAGAAATGTGATGTTAGTAAAAATGGATACAATAACCTTATGATCCACGTAAAGAGCAAGCATCTCGATTATCTCAAGATCTACGCGGTGCATGCTCTAAAATCATCCTTAAGCAGATCACATTCTTCTAATAATGGAGCTGAGCAGACCACACTCAAATATATGATTGATTTGAAGTCGCGCGGTATATAAAAATGGCTGGATTGGATAGTCATGGATGAACAGGAGCTAAGTTTCTGCAAAAAAGATCGTACTGGAAAGAACACAAACTTGCCGAAGATCAACTCCAAAACTTTGAAGAAGTATATGTTCTTGCTGGTGGATGCTGTTGAAAAAAAGATCACAACACTGGCTTTAGCTGCGTCATGCTATGCCTTGATCTTTGATGGCTGGACGGAAGACTCCACTCATTTTATTGATTTATTCATCACTCTTCCCGCCAAAGATGCGGTAGCGTACTCTTTTAACATCCATCTATTGGCATTTGCGCCATTGCTGGACGAAATTCACTGCAGCCAATCATTGAGACTTTATTCTTGCAACACTAGATTGGTATCATTTGGCTGTCAGCAATCTCAATTGTTTGATTGGTTACAACTGTAGCACAAATTCTCATCTCATCTGTTGTAGCACAAATTATGCAACAACAGACCTACTCAGATTCCCACTGTTAGGTTGTCGCAACCATCGTCTGAACTTGGCAGTCGAAGCTACATTGATCGATATTTAGAAATTGATTTGATGAGCAATCTAATGTCCAAGCTGTCAACACTGAAAGAGGCGGGTCGATTGCGCATGACCAGCTCATTGCGTCATGTTAAACGCAATAAGACTCGTTGGCTCGGAGTGATCAAAATGCTTGATCGCTACGAAAGGTTGCGACCTCACATTGAAGACACCGATCTCGATGTAGCGGAATCCTTTTCAACTTCTGGCCAACGAAACGTCATTCGCCACCATACTGGCACATTATCTAATTTCAAATCAGTGACCTAATCGTTGCAAAGAGAGAATGTCATTATTTGGTAATCTCAAACTTTATTCCAAGAATCTCCAACTTTATTGTATATATATATATATATATTATTGTATTTTCAGAAACACAATATAATATCAAATAATATTCCTCCTAACTCTGATTTCTATTAGTTTCTCTAATAAAGAGACCTAGATCAACATAGATATTGTCACAAACTTTGCCCCCAAAGTTTTAGCTTAGTTTCTCTAGCAAAGTCATCTAGATAACAAAGATTTTTTCATGGAAATAAGTAGTTTTTTGAAAACGAAATAGCTCACTCTTTGCCATATTTAGAGAGTCTACTAATAATCAACCTTTGGCTGGATCAACCCCACCGTATGAAATCCGACGGCTTTTAGAGTGTGCGCGCTCGAAGGGTGAGTTCTTCACGGTCGGATGAAATAAGGTGCGGGTTGATCTAGCCAAAAGTCTAATAAGAGGTGACACTATTGGAAGGAGAAGAACTGCGCCTGCATCTGCTGAGCGTGAGCACTGGACGTGGTCCGCAATCGTGGTCGAATGATTTGGCAAAGGAAGGAAAACCCGGTTCGAAAAGTTGGACTTAGAAGTGTGCATTCAGTCTCCCGCCACTTTCTTCGTCCGCGTCCGCTGTGGCTTTGAATTTGGCGTCCCGCGCTCTTCTTGCGTCTAGGGTTCCCTCCTCTTCCAGTGGATCGGCATTCGAGCTCATTTCAAGCTTCCCCCGTCTCGTGGCGAACGAGGAATCTCAGCGCATTGCCGCCATCGCCCGGTCTGGCCTTCGACGAGCAGGTCAGTCGCTGTACTGTGTAAAGCGGACATTGTTGCATGGGGTACTGAGTTCTGTTCTCCTTCCTAGTTCTGTCGAATTGCGTCTGCGACTCACAATTTCTGTCTCTGCCTCTGAAGCCTGGCGTTCTCTTCTGCATCAAATTTTTTCTTGCGTGCGTCGAGCCCGAATTGAGCTGCGTATTGTCGGTAGACGAGCTGTCAGCCCATCGTTCTTCTCTATATTTATTTGGAGCTTTTTGTTTATCGCGCAGATGTTCCTCAGGTTGTGTAGAGCTTCTCTCTGAAGCGCGCGAACTAGAGCAGACTGAACTTACTGGTATGGGATTGAAGCCATTGCGAGCAGGTCTACATGATTTAGATCAGTGATCTGGCACTTCCGAGCTTCTGTTTGAATACAATTTTGGTCTCAGGCTCATTTCCTAGGCGTGAACTCTTGCGGAGAGTGTAGCGACGGGCTGTTTCTTGGGATGGACTTCGACTTGCCAAATGGGCGAAAGGAACGAACTCGTTTGGAGCTATGAGAAGCATCCAATAAGACTCGGTAGCTTCGCACCAAAAATTCTTCTCCCGAGAGGATGTGGTGACCACAGTCTAATTCTTTGCCATATTTAGTTTCCTCCTTGCTCTTCTCGGGAGCCCAGGTGGTATCGAATGGTGCCAAGCTCTATCGCCGGGAGCTTCTCCGAGGGATTGTAAGGAGTTGATGATGCTGAGGAAACTAGCTGGTTTGTAGCTTGGTCAACATAGGAAATTGCCGCTGGTTCTCTCGCAGCAGATTTGGAAGAGTGGAGCGCAGGGTGCAGAACCGTATGTTACACCGGTCTCTGTAGAATGTCGTCTCTGAAGAAGAGGAATTTTAGAACCAGGTGATCAGGAGTAATTGGGTTGGCCCAAGTGGCAATCGTCAGTTTGTATCGTGAGTACGAGCAAGAAGTGGAGGGTGGCGGAACTCGAGCCAGCCAGGTATGAAAGGAGGGACCGTCCAGATCTCCTGGCATGGCTCCGATCCTATCCTTTCTGTGGACTTTCATCCGACTTCGGGGCTTCTCGCCACTGCAGGTGCTGATCGCGACATCAAGTTGTGGTCTTTGAATCACGTCGAGAAATCGAAGGTCTTGCCTACTGCGTGTTTCAAAACTAGTCTCTCCTACCATAGCTCGGCTGTGAATGTGGTTCGCTTCTCTCCATCCGGTGAACTACTTGCCTCTGGAGCCGACGGGGGTGAGCTAGTTATCTGGCGCCTTGTTGCAGTTGGTGAGGAGATCCCAACCTGGAAGGTTTGGAAAACACTTCGTTTCCATCTGAAAGACGTACTGGACCTGGAATGGGCAATGGACGGGGCATATCTGGTATCTGCCTCGGTGGACAACACATGTATCATCTGGGATGTCACCAGGGGAGCTGTGCAGCAAGTGTTGAGTGACCATCAACATTACGTCCAAGGTGTAACATGGGACCCTGTTGGTGAGTACGTGGTTTCTCTAAGTGGTGATCGAACTTGCCGCTTCTACTCAGCACGACCGTCGACGAAGAAACTGAAGGGCAAGGAAAAAAAGGAGGATAAGTTAAGGAAGGCGTTTGAGTGTAAGCACGTTCTTTTCAAGAGAGATGCCACCGCCGTTGTCTCTTGCAAGGGCGATGATCTCCAGAAGCAAGTGCCTGCAACAAAGCAGTATCTGTTTTACGACGAAAACATGCCGTCTTTCTTCAGGAGATTGTCATGGTCACCGGATGGATCTTTCTTGGTCGTGCCATCTGGTGTGGAGAAACAGTCGCCAGAGGCTGCTCCTTGCAGCCTTACGTACTTGGTGTCGAGAAAAGAACTGACGAAGTCTTGTCCACAACCTACAATGCAACTTCCTGCCGGGAGCAAGCCCGTGATGGGAGTTCGGTTTTGTCCGGTGTACTTCTCTCTAAGAACCGAAAAACTCCAGAAGCCCGAGATGAATTCGTCTGAACTCGGGTGCATTGATCTTCCTTACAGACTCGTGTTTGCAGTTGCCACATTATCCTGTGTTTTCATATATGATACACAAGAAAGCTGTCCCATAGCTATCTTCAGTGGCCTGCACTACGCGCCCATCACAGATCTTGCCTGGTCGCCTGATGCTAGATTCCTTGCTGTCTCTTCTCAAGACGGCTACTGTACGTTAGTGGGATTTGACGAAGGCGAACTCGGCCTGCCCCTGCCACTGGAAGAATGTAGGATCCAGCAAAAGTTCGCACCTACGGCAGTCCCTCTGTCGGCTATGTCTTCCCCACCTCCTTTGACAGAAGGCATGATACCGTCGGTTATTGATCAAACGACTCCAACTCCTGTGACTCCTGGCTATGTCAACAGAAATGGTATAATTACACCGACTGAAGTTTCGAAGGTGGTGAACTCAGGTAAACAGAGGTCTGAGACTGTCAAGATGAGGCGGGTCACACCCAAGGCTATTACAGATATCCTGGGAGCGGTACCAGCCTCGGTATCTCCTTCGAATTCAGATGCAGCAATCAATGGTTCACTTGCAGAACAGAGCTGCCAACCTGATCATGGTGCAGTGGGGTCTTCTCGGTCACAGCTTCCAACCGAATCTGAAGAGTCTCCATCAGTTATTATTTTGAAGGGGCTTGTCGGGTACCAGTCCTCGTCGCTGTATGTAGGAACATTGGCACCAGAATCAGAAACGTCCTGTAACCCGTCGTCTGACTTAACGTTGGAGTCTTCTTTAGTCGATGAAAGTAGTTGTAGAGAAGACCAGGTAATGACAGTGCAAGGACCCGCCACTCCTCTGTCTAACAAGCAGGTGGAAAACAGTGATTTGGAGGGAACTCCAAAGCCGTCGGAACAATTCGCTCATATCTACGTGAGACCCTTGAAGTTTAGACGCATTACTCCGAAGCCAGTTGTCGATGAAATGTCTCCTGTCGCATCCAAACCCCTCACATGCTAAGGCTTAGTGTGAACAGTTTTGCACCCATCTCGTCGGTCTACTTTTGTAAATCAGCAGCTTCTCTTGTTAGAAAGCAGATTGTAATTTAGTTCATGAATTGGAACAAGGTTCCATCTCAGGCATCGAGGAATTGGAAATTAGACATAGATGTCTGAGTCCAAATTTAGTCAAGAATCATGTCGGATTGGATGGTATTCTTGCTGCTGTTGACTCTGTACATTTCATTATCCAGGCTGTATCATGCTGGGTTATCTATTATAAACGTCTTAGCTCTCAATTGATATTTCGTTGATCGAGTGTGATATGGGCACGTACGAAATTCTTCTTCTGGGAGAGATCTGAAACTTCTAGCTGAAGGTCAAGCTTTTCATCCTAAGTACCGGCCAATAAATCTGTCTATTGCATACCAGGAGTATTACTATGATCATCGTCATTCTAGAAGATTCGACCAAATTCACATTTTTCTCATCTACAGGCTTTCAAATTTTGCCACAAATCTAATGATTGATGCAGTTCTTCAATGTCATTGTCCTGACTTGCATTCTTCCGAATTATCACAGCGAACATATCTCATCACGGAGCACCTATTCAAACGGACTTAAAGTACAATCACGGATAGAACAGAAGTAGACTCCAGTTAAATTCTCTCACTTACAACGCGAAGGATGATTTTGTCCATGAGGACTCCTGACTCCCAAGGTGAGGCATATCACGAAGGTTCCATCTCGTTCTCTTGTGGAATCAGTTTGTCAAACTCTCAGTCTATCGAGGCCAATTACGAAACGTATTTCACGGGATCAGCTTAACAGATCAGGATGAGAGGCAATAATCACAGGGGCTTAATTGTAATCTTCGTGCTAACACATGTAGATACACGATTTAACGGATTTGACATGACGCTGGAAATTGAATTCCGGCGAACTCTTTTCAAAAGCTGTATGCCCTGGTCTTTGAAACTAGTGCCAGAGCTCTCGAATGCTCTTGAATGCACCCAACGTGTGCCAATGTTAAAGATTGCAGATTGCACGCCGTTCTTAAAACTTTGTATGCATGATGATTCCGTAGAATAATCCTCACACCGCAGAACAATACAAAGTAGTACCGCCAGACACAATACCTGACGATTTTCAGGCATCATGTCGTCCTTATTTTATCAGTTCAAGGGCCACAAACCTGGATGTCTCGAACACAACCTGGCATTCTGACTTAACCACACTCAATCGGTCCTGACATTCAACTCAAGTCATCAGAATTCTTGTACTCTCAATTTCATCCAAATTACTCCAACCTAAATTTTCTGAATTATAATAAGATCTAGAGGATTTGTAATAAGATTAATAATATCTTTGGCATTTGTAAATCAGCAAATTCAGAAGTTTTTACTTGATGGATCTCATCGGAACCTAAATTGCGGAGAGATTTGCTTGATGGGATCACATCAAAACGTAAATTGTTTCATGGGACCCTTCAATTTGTCCCATGGAACCACACGGAACGTTCGTCTCCTTGAGAACGCACCCTTGTTTCAACGATGAATTTGTCCTCATTAATTCATGTGCGCAGAAATCTTCCTTGTTGTAATTTGCTGCTAGAGATATGCTAGAGCAGAAATTTAATGGTTTGACGAAAGAACTTACAATTACATGAGTTGGAAGGTGTACTGCCAGTGGCATTTCAGTGTCTCTCACTGTTGCAGATCCAAATTGGATATGCTCTTGCGGGCAAGAGCATATCCAGTTTAGTTTAACTCCAGTGCCAGGCAAGCCATGGAAGCCATTGCACTCTCTACAGGGTCACATAGGGTAAATTGAAATTTAATGGATTCCATAAACAAATTGGATATTTGTTTGATGGGGTCACATCAAGCAAATATCTCTTGCTTGATGTGACTCATTAAGTTTTGTTTTACCATGACGCCACACCCTCGTGAAATTATAAAGTATGTTCCTGTACAATTTCAAGTTTTTTATATCTTTATGATTTGTGCAAAGGTACACAAAAACGTAGATTGAAGAACTATAACATACATTGTCACAAGTGCAGGGAGTTTTGGATTTTGAGCTGTCGTATCGGCGAGCAATAGCGGACGTGTAGGAAATTCACATGTGGAATAGGTGGAGTAAATTCACCGATAGGGAAGCAAAGTACTTGTGAATCCAATGTCAAGTAATTTTACAAATTTTGATGGAATGGAGAACTCTCGGAAATAGAAGGGTTCGGTACGATTGCACTAAGTGGAGATTTGAGCGATTTAATGATATGCAATGAGTACTGTCTCGTTGTGACAATCCAACTTCCTGCACCATTTGTATTTAACATGCGTGATGTCTACACTTGGTGAGATCTTTTCAGGTAAGACGAAACTTGAAGAGTTCCGAAAGCAATTTAAATTCCAATGGGTCCCATCAAATAAATATCTCACAACTTCATTAACCAAAACTGATTTATTTGGATTGATAATAATTTTATTTTCAAAATGTGAAAATTTACATTTATCAGAAATTACTTAAAATCGCTCAAGATGTTATGCTGAAATGCAAAACTCGTCTGACATTACGACTTCCGAGCCATTTCAAATCACATCTAGACAATTTATAAAAATCCAAATAGTTTGTTTTTAAATTTTATGTGGAGCAATAGAAGCAGAATTGCACATGAATCCCGTTCTTGCTACTCAATTTAATAGTAATAAGATCACGGTTCGCAAGACTCGTAGGCATCAACCTCGTAGATCGTTAAGGTGTAGAGGAAAACTAGCGGATGACATTTTCCTTTCCTCCAAAGTCTCATACTCCGACGCTTGAATACATGTTCTGAATAATCTGGATATGAAGATACTGAGTTCCCCCAAATACCGAGCAGTGCAGTAATGCAGTCGCTAGGGAAGAAGAAAATACATCCCAAATGTCCACACGCTAGCTTTCATTTGCTTGCGAAGCAGCAGCACAAACGTCGAAATCATCTTCAGGCCCAGAAACTCCATAAGGAGCAGTGTGACATCCACGGAGAGAGGAATTTGCGAGCGGACTGTGACAATAACCCATACGTATCACAGAGTCTGACACACAATTCGTGGTATATTAACGCAGAGCGAAGGCAGGGGAATTATCTTTGCGCTTGGGGCAATGACGCAGATAGTGAGGTGAAACCGAGACGCGTCAATTGCTGGTTGAAAACTATTTCCAAACCCCCGCCCGTGCCCTAACCGGCGCGTGCGAATTTCTGGAAGGCCTGTACTACACAGGCCTCACAAATCAATACAAAGAGAATAACTGGTCATCTGCAAGACAAGGGAGGTCGACTTGCAGAACTCACATTGGCAATTAAACTCATTAAATTCCGAGCGTTGATATCGTCGGACTCACACGGACAACTGACTGTGAAACTACTCCGTGGATTACTTTCTAAGGCACAGCACAATCCACAATGCAAACAATTCTTGCCAAGCGTTGGAGTCTTAGAACGATCTGTGTCATGAATGCATTAATTTTCAGCTGAAACTCAACTTGTTATTGGATAATTAAATACGGTGATATTCTGAATTCAAAGCCGTTTAAGCGAATGACTGGAGTTTAGGGTCGTTAGGTTCCAAAGCTGGAAACTGGGAAAGTGATGTCCATCTTGTAGAGGTCTAAACTTGGAGGAGCCCTGCATGGAGATATGCAGTTGTACGATTAACAGAAGTATTTCTCGGTGGTTTTCTTCGGAGCACATAAACTTTGAATGCGATGTTCTTTGCAACCTGTTCATGATTATTATGTCAATCTCTCAGAATCTGTAAGACACCTGGGAGGTGCTCGCTATATTATGAAGTTAAAGCAATTCGTGCAGAGTGTTCAGCACAAGGGCGATGAATGAGGTTGAAAGAAACGCTAATTCGAGATCAGAAAGGGTGGGAATATAAATTCAGGCTATGATCAGCTTCCACTGATTCACTTGTGACTCAAATTGGGTAAGATGACAAGGTGAACCTGCTAGAAAACTGTCATGACTATATATAATCATCAATAGAAAACCATGAGCTAGAAAACTGAGTTCTCTCGTCATAGATATTCCTTGTCAGCTAGAGACTTCTCATGAATCATAAACCATAACACCACTGTGTTATGGTTTAGAATTTATCAACGACCTTCTTGTATCTTTTTTTTGCCCTCGTTTCTGATTTTCGTTTCGTCTTAATATCGCTGGTGCTTTTGGCAGCTTGTTTTGCATTTTGTTTGTGCGATGAATCCTGTGGCACTCACTCTTCTCTGTTCTTATCGTAAGTTGACTTTCTCTTACCTTCTGTTAGATACTCACCAAGTTTCGACAGATTTCCCTCGTTGTCTTCGAGATGACCATATTTCTTAATCTGAACGCAGATTATGAAACTCATGTTCAGCATGCTTTCTGATCTGAACATGTCCTTGACTGTTTTATAGATCAAATTACCTGCTCTGGTGTTTCTTTCTATTTTCAGGGGGTCCTACCTCAATTGGAATCGCCGGCCTTCAGAGCACTCGTATATTTTTATTTATTCAGTCTGTGAAAAAATGTCTTTGCAAAACATGAATACTGTGAAGAGAAAGAACATCGAATCATCTCGCTCTTCATTTCAAACTATGATCGATCTTCATTGAACATGTGATGAGTTGGGAGTTCATCATATTAACCTTAGAAGTAAGTAAATGAATGGATGATACATCTCAACTTCCTCTTGGCAGTACATTGAATATATTCGGAGCTGAAAACCTTCTACTTAGCAATATAGAAACTAAACAAGTTTTGAGTGATTTAGTTTCTAGTATAAACAGAAATAGTTTTTCTCGTCTTTAAGGCTAAGAGTATACAACAAGCTCAAGCTCTACATATTATACACGCTGGACTTTGTAATTTTTACACACATATCTTAAAATAAAAAATTTTAGAATATAATAATATTGGAAAAAAGTTTGCAACAAATGATAGAATACTTATAGTAAACCATGGATAATTATAAAATTTAATAGTTTTTATACTAATATATACACCAATTTCTAGTGATTTTTTTTTCTAAATATCCATTCAATTAATATATCAAATATATTTTCAAACAAAATTTCAAAATAAACAATCAACATTGAAATTATGTGGAAAAATTACTTGTGGATTCTTGCAAAAAGCAAAACACTTGATGGAAACAACACAGTTCATTTTAAGGATGGTACTCTCTATCATATTAGAGCTTATTGTCATACTTGTTCCAATACAAGTTTTTGTAATCTGATAATTGATCGCTATGGTGCGGGAGTAACTGACTCTATTGGGCCAAAGTACTCTCATAGTAGTACTTAGTCCATGAGGCTGAAGTGTTTTCATGAGAACCTATAAATCATTGGCATGACAAAATGAAATTAGCCAACCAATTAATAAAAATTGTTG